AAACGAAATGATTCAGTGAATGTTTCATACGCAAAGCTTTAGGTAAGGAGTCAGCAATTGCGCACTGTCGCGTTCATGTTAGCATAGAAGCTACCTTCTTTTGTGGCCTTCTGATTTTCTGTTCACCTAGAGAGGTCATTTTCACGCTTTAAGAGTCGTGTAAATGATAGAACTCTTACATTTTTGAAACGATACGAATCGAGGAAGCTCTTTCAAAACTAGCAGTGAAATAAAACCTATTTTATACCCAATCTGCACGCGCCCCTAAACATGCATTTCTCTGGAGGCTATAAGTATAATAATCGTGTAAGGATACAAGAGGCGCTTATCTCCCTGTGGTGGAAATACGTCACGTGGGTCACATGACATCTGATTCGAGATGTCAATCCGTACAGTGATGAAAAGCAGTAGTCAGTTTCAGTTCGTTTACAGCAACCAAACGGTAATGTTGCTTTCTTTAGCTCGACTATTCTCCAAATCCCGGGCAGAGGTTAAATCTGCCTCTTCAGCAGTTTAAAAGTCCATGGGGCCGTATCCCTTTAGGAATATATCTTTCCCAGATATAGAATGAAATTCCAGTTCGCAGTCCTCAATTTGGGTAAACCCAAGACTCGACGTTTCCCGTTCGTGGAATATGTCCTCGTCTGGGACATAGCTGAATCCGGCCTGTTAGAACCTGGAGTGCTAAAAATGGCTTCTCCATGTCAGGAGAATCTCCATATTATATGTAAAACTCTTTCGTTTTGTTTCTCCTCTTTTTTGTTGCGATAAGTGATATATTATTATATGTTTATGTAATATATTATTCTCCGCGTGGGACACGTGTATGTATCTACGTATATTTATGTGTTTGTCTTAGTGATATAAAAGTCTCTCTGAGAACAAGGCATTCTTTTTCCTTTCAGCCATTCTATTCCATCTGTGCAATATCGGCTGAAATACAAATGCGAGAATAAACCTTTCCTACTTAGATCTACCCGGTTACAGAGCGTTTAAAAAGTTTTTTTCTCGTTTAAGAAGTGGTGTGGGGTTTTGGGATTAAAATGGACAGTTGATTTACCCACGCCAAGAAGATTAATGAAGGATGGTAATGATGAGGAGACACGAAGATAATTTTTAGCAAAACACGATGAGGAATTTATTCACGAATTTACACCCCTGAAATTGGTCAGTAGCTCGTTTCAGGAAAATAAATCAGAATTTGTGTTCCCCGTTAACAGTTCTGATGAGAGGAGACGAAACCGGTCGACTGGTGTGTTTTTATTTTTATTTTAAGTCTATCATGGCCTATAATATAAAATTTCTTTTATATATATATATATATATATATATATATATATATATATATATATATATATATATATATTAGGTTGTCCCAAAAGTTCGTAAACACTTGCAAAAATTGAAAAAAAAAAAATTGAAATGTTGCTCGCCAAGTAATAACAAAAACAACAAAAATTATTCTTCAAAATAAAGACCATTATTTTCCGAGACTTTTTGCCATCGATCTGCAAGCTTTCGGATCTGGTGAAAGTACCATTCAGCCGGCTTCGAATCAAAGAATTCTTGACACGCTTCTTCGACTTCATCAAACGAGTCGAATCGGCGGCCCTTCAGAAAGTGTTGCATTGAGCGGAAAAGTCCGTAATCTGATGGAGCACAGTGAGGACTGTAGGCTGGATGTGGCAGAACCTCAACGCCGTCCAGCTCTTCAAACTTGTCTTTGGTCTTCCTGGCGGTGTGTGGCTTGGCATTATCCTGCTGCATCAAAGCGCGCTTTCGGTTGATCAGAGCCGGGTACTTTTGCTTCAACTTTTCGTAGACCCGCTCCAGTTTCTGACAGTTCGGCACTGATAGCACGACCATTCGGAACCAACTGAAAATGCACGATTCCTTCAAAGTTCCACCAAACGCACAACATGACTTTCTTGCCGAATCGATCTTGTTTTGGAACCGACGGTGTCTCTTGCCCTTTCTGAACCCATCGCTTGTCTCGATTGTGCTGGACCAGATAGATCCATTTCTCGTCTGATGTCACAATGCGCTTCCCAAAACAATTAAAAATTGCATAAAAATTCAATTTTTCGCAAGTGTTTACGAACTTTTGGGACAACCTAATATATAAATATAAAAGTGAACATAGAAGTCAACACTCAGAGGCCACCTTTGTGCTTAGCATGAAACAGTCTGTCGCCTCTGAGTGATGACTTTAATGTTCGCTTTTAAATTTACATACGTGCAATCTCTGATATACACACACACACACACACACACACACACACACACACACACACACACACATATATATATATATATATATATATATATAATTGAACAATAAGAAAATAAAAAATTAAAATCTTTAGACACACTGGGTTGTAGATTAACATTCTTTCGTTTTTTTATTATTATTCCATTTAGATTCCTCGACTAGTTTCGACCGAAATGGCCATCATCGGGAAGAGAAATATTTCTGCTTGCTGGTAGCTGTGAACTACAGAAATGAATGTCTTGATGGAGAAAATGAACTTTTGTCTGTAGTTTTCATTTGTTTTTTTAATATATATATATATATGTATGAAGAAATATAGTCTTAAGATGTGCTATATTTATGGGATAACGTGCTCAATATCAGAGATAGAGCGTGTGTAAATATAAAAGTGAACATAGAAGTCAACACTTAGAGGCGACAGTCTGTTTCATGCTAGATGCATCGTGGCCTGACGATTGCATCTAGCATGAAACAGACTGTTGCTCTAAGTGTTGGCTTCTATGTTCACTTATATATATATATATATATATATATATATATATATATATATATATAAGTTTAACAATTGAGGGCAGTGTACAAAATATTGACGAGACGCACATATCTCAAGACCCTCATTCACGTCCATATGCTAAAAAGATACCGCGCTGAAAACTACAAAGAGACTGCCCCTAACGCCTGCGACACAGTTCGCAGTAAGAACTAAATTCTATCTCTTGTATCCCCCGTTACAACTAAAACGCACGCACACACGTACTGACTTTTTCATACAAACAATGACACACCCGCCCAAATTCAAGTTATATTTTTTTGAAAAGCAAAAAATATAAGCATCTGGTGAAAGTACATATAAATATCTAAATATAAAATGGATGTTTCATTGCCATGCTCACAACGTTTCGGCCGTTGTACGCTCCAACCTTCTTCAGGTGACTTGCATTATTTACATTATTCGGACTGATATCCTCACCTTCAGTGTCATGTTCACAACGATATATTTGGTAAAAAAATATGCAATAATAATAACGGAAAATTGCAATATGAGCACTAGTAAAATATTATGCTAAGACATAGGGTTTATAAATCGGCCGAAACGTTGTGAGCATGGCAATGAAACATCCATTAAACATGGCACGTGGAACTAGAATAGTCTACGCCGGTGAGTGAAATAAAGGGTTCAGTTCGACATTCCAACCACCTGAAGAAGGCCGGAACGTACAACGGCCGAAACGTTGTAATAAATATAGCGACAAAGATGAGGACAATAGTCCGAGTAATGTAAATAGTATACATAATACCTCATCTCAGAAATATAGACAGATACTGAAATAGCTCCAGTTTGTTCAACTTAGGAAACTTAGCATTGCAGCCAAATTATTCTAAAATGCTGCCAATAACAAAAGAGAAAATCTTGAAACTAGAACAATCAACCTCTGTGGACGAATTAAAATGTTCGGTTCGAAATTCCAAACACCCGAAGAAAGCCGGGGCGTACAAGAGCCGAAACGTTGTGAACATGACACTGAAGGTGAGGATATTAGTCCGAATAATGTAAATAATGCAAGTCACTTGAAGAAGGTCGGAGCGAACAACGGCCGAAACGTTGTGAGCATGGCAATGAAAATGTGCATAACAGCCCGAATAATGTAAATAATGTAAGTAATAATAATACCTCATCTCAGAGATATAAACAGATATTGAAGGCATGGCACGTGGAACTAGAACAATCTACCCCGATGGACGAAATAAAGGGTTCTGTTCGAAATTTCAATCACAGGAAGAAGACCGGAGCGTACAACGGCCGAAACGTTGTGAATATGACAATGAAGATGAGTATAACAGTCCGAATAATGTAAATAATGTAAGTAATCATAATACCTCATCTCAGAGATATAGACAGGCATTAACTTGTGTGCATTTTTAGTTTGTTTATTATTTACTTAATTTGCAATATAAGCTTTGGTAAAAAAATATGCAATAATAATAACGGAAAATTGCAATATGAGCACTAGTAAAATATTGTTGCTATGACATAGGGTTTATAAATCGTAGAAATTTATACACAGATGTCCTCAAGGATACATGGCTCAGTGGATAAAGACGTTGGTTTGATCCAATGAGTAGACCTAAAGAATTGTCAGTTCAATACGTAACTGAGACATCCGGAACTAGAACAATCTACCTCGGTGGACGAAATAAAGGGTTCGGTTCGAAATTCCAATGATTTGAAGAAGGCCGGAGCGTACAACGGCTGAAACGTTGTGAATATGTCAATAAGGATAACAGTCCGAATAATGCAAGTAATACCTCATTTCAGAGATATAGACAGGTATTGGATTTTTTTTTATCGATATTATGTTTGTGCGCTTCCTGGAGTCCTACTTTCAGAGCTCAGCACTGATTCCTGTTGAAGCCCCGCGTTTTTACTGTCCTTCGATTCTGTTGTATTTGACGGAGGGTGCATTTAATTGGTGCATTTTTGGGACAAAATCCGCGTCCAGTAAGCTGGCAAATCTGGTCAATTTCAATTTTTCCGTTTACAGCAGACATCCAAGATTTTGGCGCATTGTAAGTGAGCCTCCATTTGCTTGCGCTTGCATTTGCGTACTTGTAAAATCCGCAATGCGACTGCTTAAAAAGGCGAACGCAATATCATGTGTGACGACGCCGAAATGTATCTCTAATGGACCCCGTCTTGTCATTAAGCCACAAAGCTTTTAGGCTTTTTATGTATGCAAGCCACATCCATCTACAAGTTAGGTTTTCATTTTTATCTTTTGGCTGAGCTTATTTGAAAATTTTTTAGTTGTTAACCGAAGGATTAATACTAATCACTCAAACAACAAATCCAGATAAACCAGTTCTCTTGCTAATTTTCTTTCTTTCTTCTTTTTTTTTTTTCTTTCTTTCTTTCTTTCTTTCTTTCTTTCTTTCTTTCTTTCTTTCTTTCTTTCTTTCTTTCTTTCTTTATATCTCTTAGAGTCTTATTTATTTATTGTCTTCTCTTTTTCTCGCTTCTTTCTTTCTTTCGTTCTTCTTTATATCACTTGCAGATTTTTATTTATTTATTCTCTTCTGCTTTTCTCGATTCTTTCTTTCTTTCTTCCTTTCTTTCTTTCGTTCTTTCGTTATTTCTTTCTTTCTAAGTTTATATCTCTTAGAGTCTTATTTATTTATTCTCTTCTCTTTTCCTCACTTCTTTCTTTCGTTCTTTCTTTATATCACTTGTAGATTTTTATTTATTTATTCTCTTCTGCTTTTCTTGATTCTTTTTTCTTTCTTTCGTTTTTTCTTTCTTTCTTTTCTTTCTTTCTTTCTTGCTTTCTTTCTTTCGTTCTTTCTTTCTTTATATCTCTTGTAGTCTTTTATTTATTTATTCTCTTCTCTTTTTCTCGATTCTTTCTTTCTTTCTTTCTTTCTTTCTTTCTTTCTTTCTTTCTTCCTTTCTTTCTTTCTTTCTGTCTTTCTTTCTTCCTTTATATCACTTGTAGATGTTTATTTATTTATTCTCTTCTGCTTTTCTCGATTCTTTCTTTCTTTCTTTCGTTCTTTCTTTCTAAGTTTATATCTCTTAGAGTCTTATTTATTTATTCTCTTCTCTTTTCCTCACTTCTTTCTTTCGTTCTTTCTTTATATCACTTGTAGATTTTTATTTATTTATTCTCTTCTGCTTTTCTCGATTCTTTTTTCTTTCTTTCTTTCTTTCTTTCTTTCGTTCTTTCTTTCTTTATATCTCTTGTAGTCTTTTATTTATTTATTCTCTTCTCTTTTTCTCGATTCTTTCTTTCTGTCTGTCTGTCTTTCTTTCTTTCTTTATATCACTTGTAGATGTTTATTTATTCTCTTCTGCTTTTCTCGATTGTTTTTTCTGTCTTTCTTTCTAAGTTTATATCTCCTGTAGTTTATATTTATTTATTCTCTTTCTTTCTTTCTTTCTTTCTTTCTTTCTTTCTTTCTTTCTTTCTTTCTTTCTCAACAAGAGACTTTCACAGGCGAGGAATACGAATGAAGAAACTCTTAGAATATAACTTACGGTTACATCTCGCCATTTCAAACAGCAAAATGATTAAATAAAATATCCATATATTATCCACATCGTCATTGAATCGCTAAAAAAAAATAAGCATTCCATAATGAAAAAATGCCCCAAACTTAATAAAAGAACAATGGTTTATCGTCAATATCTTTATGTTATTATTAAGAAGAAACACCAAAGGATTTTTTGATTATTAATTACATACTTTTGCATCCTATTTACAACGTTCCAAATGTTTGGTTAAAAAAAAAACATCTTTTTTTCTGCGTCAGCCGGGTAGTCAAAGATTAATACAGTGTAACCCGGATATAAGAGACCCTGATATAAGAGAAACCCGGATATAAGAGAGATTTTCTCTGGTCCCAAATTAGAGCCCATACTTACCTAAACAAAATAGACCAAACCCGGATAAAAGAGAAACCCGGATATAAGAGACTTCTTCTCCGGTCCCGACAAATCTCTTATATCCGGGTTACACTGTATAGGAAATTTTAGCGCTTTTTTTGCGGTAAAAACACATTGGTTTGGAAATTCTTTAAAAAAAATCAAATATTTGTCAAATTTTAATGAATCTTTCAGGACTTATTAAAAAATGAATAAAAGTATTTTAGAAGTGTTTTCTTTAGAAAATTTTGGTAAAAATATTTTCATCCCCACCCACACACGTTTATTTAATTTTATGAAATTTCCATAAATTAAATGTTGTAGAACTTAATGTTTATATTAGTTAAAAGCAGAACATCTTGGAAAATTTAAATCTTCAATGTCTTTTTGTAAAACAGAATCCACAGTTACCAAAAATCGGCTACGAATCGTAAAATAAAAAATGCAATAAAACTAAGATATTATTTATTTTTTATTTACTTATATTAATAAGATATATCATGAACAATAAGGTCTTACGAAAACAGTTTTTGATGAATAAAGAATTTTTACAATAATTGTTTTCATATCTGTCTATATTACTGAGATGACGTATTATGTACACTTTTTACATTATTCGGACTATTGTCATCATCTTTGTCGCCATATTTATTTCAACGTTTCAGCCTTTCAGTATCTGTCTAAATACTGAGATAAGGTATGTACGCTATTTACATTATTCGGATTATTGTCCTCATCTTTGTCGCCATATTTATTACAACGTTTCGGCCTTTCAGTATTTGTCTATATTTCTGAGTTGACGTATTATGTACACTATTTACATTATTCGGACTATTGTCCTCATCTTTGTCGCCATATTTATCACAACGTTTCGGCCTTTCAGTATCTGTCTATATTTCTGAGATGACGTATTATGTACACTATTTACATTATTCGGACTATTGTCCTCATCTTTGTCGCCATATTTATCACAACGTTTCGGCCTTTCAGCATCTGTCTATATTTCTGAGATGACGTATTATGTACACTATTTACATTATTCAGACTATTGTCCTCATCTTTGTCACCATATTTATTACAACGTTTCGGCCGTGGTACGCTCCAGCCTTCTTCAGGTGGTTGGAACGTCGAAATGAACCCGTCATTTCGCTCACTGGGGTAGACTGTTCTAATTCCACGTGCCATGTTTAATGGATGTCAGTTATCAATTATCTCCTGTTAATCCCCCAAGAACTCCACTGCCTTAACCGGGTATTGAACTCGCACTCTTTGAGTCCTGTCACTGGATCTAACTAACGTCTTTATCCACTGTGCCTTGAGGACATCTGTGTATGAATTCGTGGATATTATAAACCTACAAGGACATATGGCACAGTGGATAAAGGCGTTAGTTAGATCCAGTGACAGGACCCGAAGAGTGTGAGTTCAATACCCGGTTAAGGCAGTGGAGAACTTTCAGAGGGGAATTAACAGGAGATAACTGATAACTGACACCCGTTAAACATGGCACGTGGAACTAGAACAGTCTACCCCAGTGAACGAAATAAAGGGTTCAGTTCGACATTCCAACTACGTGAAGAAGGCCGGTGCGTACAACGACCAAAACGTTGTAATAAATATGGCGACAAATATGAGGACAGTTGTCCGAATAGTGTAAAATATAGCAGTTTTCTTTTGGAGGCGTTAAAAATTTGCAAGTCATTTCTTGCCCCAGTTAACAACTGATTGATTAACGAAGGATAAGGCCAAACAAGAGACAAGTATTCCTTACAGTCGTCTGGGTTGAAGAATAAAAGCTTCTTATTTAACATCTGTCCATTTCTAGAAAGAACGTATCGGCGAGAAAGTAACTCAAGTCGAGGTGCGAGGTCAGGATCGATTATATTACAGACCTTTCATTGGATTTTGTTGAGACCCTAGAGCACCAGATCTAATATAGCGGCAATATTCAGATCACGGACGAATGGCAGATTTATAAATGTACAAGATGGATTCTGACGTGAAAAATTGTCTGACTCGACATTGGACCAACTTTCTTAACAGAATATTAAGAAAGAATAACTGATGTCAGTGGTAACTGTATCCTTGCTACTCAGTCTTGATTTGGGTAACAAGTTTAACTAACTGAAACTCAGTCTGGAGTCAGCAATATCTGAGCCGAAAGTGTCTGCTATAACGTGATCTGAATGAGATCAAGTCTTACTATGAAACAGATACAACATATTTGGAACATCCGATAAGTCCCAAAGGTAATTTAGCTACAAAGACTTTCTCGCTCAAGAGGTTCAAAAAGCGCTGGAGGTGTGGGGGTGGGGGTGTTGGTTGTTTGGGGATACGCAGCTGCTGACGTGGGATAAAATCGATCATATTGTCGGTCAAATATCCAGTGTCAACCAAACAGCGGCAAAAACCAAACAATTATTATCTCTTTGCATTGGAGATTTTGAATATATATATATATATATATATATATATATATATATATATATATATATAATAAATTAATTGATTTAAAATATGTTTTTTTCCGCTACACAGTTCTAAACATGTTTCAAAAATAGAAGCTAAAAGCCCCGAATTTAATTTTGCAATTAAATTAAGAACACCGGATTTTATATCTTACTGTTCTTTATATTTATATATATATATATATATATATATATATATATATATATATATATATATATATATATTTTGAACAATAAAAGATATTAAAAAATTAAAATCTTCAGACACACTGGGTTGTAGATTAATATTTTTTCGTTTTTTTTTAATTATTATTTCATTTAGATTCCTCGACTAGTTTCGGCCAACATGGCCATCATCAGGAGAAGAAATATTTCTGCTTGCTGGTAGCAGTGAACTACAGAAATGAATGTCTTGATGGAGAAAATGAACTTTTGTCTGTAGTTTTCATTTGTTTTTTTTATTTTTCGTTTTATCTTTTTAACATGAATCTTTTAACATTCCTTGTGTTGGTCAAACAGTCTCTTTTAAGTTGTTATTTGAAATAAGAGCTGGATGGATCTATGCTTCTCTGAATTCCCCTGGTTAGTTTAACAGTTTTATTGGTCCTGGAGAAGTGATGTGTCTCTGTTAAGTGTTTGTGTGTGTGTTATTTGGTTCGTAGGGAGCGAGTAAGTATGATATGTGTAAGCGTGTATACTGCTGTGTGTGTGTGTTATCGTTTGGCTCATTAGGGAGTGAGTGAGTATGATGTGTGTAAGTGTGTATGTTCACGTGGGTGTGTGTATAAGTGTGAGGCCTCAACACCTCCGTAAGCATGTCTGTCTTGTGTGGGTGAGAAATGTGGGTAGGTTTTGATTTGTAGGGTTATATACTAATACCATCTATATTGTTAAATTTATGGTTTAGCCCGGCTGGATAGTGTGTTTTTAAACGTTGTATCCACTTATTTTCATGGGACTCTAAAATCTTTCTAATGTTATCTGCTCTGAACTTTTCTATTCTCTCAGTTATAGTGAATTTGGCATGGGTTTTGAAATCGTGTTTTTCTAGGCGAAATGTTGTTCTACAGGTAATAATTTTTCATGGAGAGTCGACTTAATTCGATTGCGATAATTATTAATTCTGTAGTGAAAGGGCCATTTAGATTTTCCTACATATTGTTTCTGGCATAGTGTGCATTCTAGGAGGTAAATTATGTTATGACTTCTACAGTTAGAATCGTGGTAGATTTTGAAAGTAGATTTAGTGATTGAGCTAGTGAATGAATTCGTATGTTTAATATGGTTGCAGCATAAACTTCTTTTGTTGTTACATGGTTGGGAAAATCCTGTTGTTTTTGTTCTTAATTTATTACGGATTACCTTGTCCCCTGAAATGTGGTTACTACCTATGATTTCTTTTAGGTTCTTAGGTCTACGATATGCTAGAAGGCCGGGTTCCTTAAACAATTTTTTAGGTCTGGTTTGAGACATATATATATATATATATATATATATATATATATATATATATATATATATATAATCACGATTTCCGTGTATACGACGGATATATATGTTTTTTTTTATGCAATTCAATACGCACATACACAAACGTGCACACGTAAACATGCACGCGCACACACACACAAACAGACGTTCACACACAAACCGACATAAAAACACAGACACTCGCAGACACACAAACACACAGAAACATACACACAGACAGAGAGAGAGAGAAAGAGAGAGGGAGGGAGAGGGAGAGAGAGAAACACAAGAACGCAGAAACACGCAAGCAAACATAGATAAACACAAACACGAAAACACGCACAACTACACAGACACACAACTACAGAGACACAGACACAAACAGGCACACATAAATGCACACACATACATACACGCAAACGCTTGCACACACAAACACGCACATAAACTCATACAAACATACACAAAAACACGCCCATTGAGAGACACACAAACACACAGAGAGAAATACACAAACACAGAAACATACACACAGACAACTATATAGACACAAACACAAACAGGTACGCAAACACACAAACACACACACACGCGCGTGCGCACACAGAAATATGCACACCCAGACACACCCCAGAGCTATGAATCACTTAG